TGTAATAGGACTTGACAACTTGGATTATAAAACAATATGGGGTTATCGGTAAAACCTGACGTGATGGGATTAAATGGATCACGGATTCGGATTCAGTGACTCCGAAAATATATAGTTGACCTTTAGACTTGAAAAACATTTGTTTGTGTGGTTGTGTAATGAATAAGTACCTATATGCAGCTTGTCGCAACTATATCTTTTTAAATAAGAAATAATACGTACTTGTCATTTAACATTGGTATAATTTCATGCAAGAATTTTTAACAATTTGAATTCTAGGTTTATTTCGTTCATTAAGACAAGCGGCATAAACAAGATCATAATAATCGGAAAGTGACAAAATATGTACCTATTTCAGTAAGCGTTTTTACAGGAATCCTGAACAAATAGAGGCATGTTGTCTAGAAACAACAAATTATTTATATCAATTTTATGTCAGTTTTATGTCAGGCGCTGAGAATCTCAATTAAAAAAGTCATAAACCTTACGGTCGTAGTCATAAGACTGTTCCCCTCTGTGTTCGATGCAAAGAAGTATTCTGCAAGTCATGTTCCTTACGGAATCTTGAATTGTTTCTGATGGAATTTATTGAAGCATTTCTGTTATTTTAGCCATTGTTCGACACACTGGACTAGTCTGTTATAACTTCTATTCTTTGCAAATCCTCAGAGAGAATAATCCAATGGATATAAACAAGGAACCTTGGTGGCCAGCCTATAGGACCAACAGTTCCAATCCAGGAATTACTAACACGTTCATCTAAAAATAGTGTAACAATTCCGGCATTATGAGGACCAGCTCTATTTTGCTGAATCCGCTTTAAGTTTCTCAATTCATCTAGAGGCAAATTATTTAAAATTTCTTTAAAATCATTTCTTGGAAAGTTTAAATTTGATTTAGTTAAATGTTGTGCAGTATAGTAAGCACCTAGTAACTGGTTGCGGAAGGCCACACCAAACATTTAGAGAAAACCGAATGTTTGGCCTTACATCCCGTAACATGCGTTTTCAATAGAGTAAAAAAATTGTTTGTTCTTTTTTGTTAAACATAATATCTTAACAGGAAAATCTGGATCTGCCCTCAATTCATCAAGATACAATTAGTGCATAATGCAATAGCGACACCTAGAGCCAACGGTCAGGTGAAGTCTACGCCTCCACGGTGTGGGGTCACGCGGCAAAAAGCCACTTAAAGTCATTACAGGCTGTGGAAAACATAGCCCTCCGCACGGCCACCGACGCGCCCTGGTACGTAAGAAGACGTACAATACACAAACACTACACAGTCAATAAGACAAAACGCGGAGAAACGGTTTGACGTAGCCGCTAGACATGACAATCCCCTCCTCAGGCAAGCCGTTGACTACGTACCCGACGTGACCGACAAACACAAAAGACCTAGACACCAACTTTTTGACCCCGGGTGACCACCCCAACGACCCCCTTCCCCCCCGCCCGCTAACCTTTTCTGTTTCAGAGACAGCCAGGATCAAGAAACGAAGACAACGACACACACACATACACACCCCCCATACCCTCCTTACCCCTCTACCTCTACCCACCCGCGCTAGCCTAAGGGCCACCTTAGCAAAGCGCATCCCAGGCTGCATAGCCGCACTGTCCTACCCAACCATACCATACATAAATATGACACAACCCCCGCGGTTTTCACAGACGAGCCGGCGAAGCAAGAAGAGCGCCAGAAGAAAGGGCCCTAGCCGGCGGGGCCCAGCCAGGACAAAAGGAGGTCCCACAAAGCGCCTACACCGGCCGCATTTGCGGTCGGGGTAGACGACGGATGGGGCCCACCTACGAAGGCTGTCCAGGCCTACACGAGATGAGGCAGGATAAAGAGGGATAATCCCCCTCGATCCCAAATCATTGAGGCCAATTTCTAGCCATGGAATAATGGCGCGGTCAGGTGAAGCGGTTTACCCGAACTGTTTTGGCAGCCTTGACTGGCATCACTGACGTAGATGATGGATGGGATAAAAATGTAGAACAAATATTTTGGGGTTTGAATAACACGGTTAAACGATCAAAACGTTAAAGAAGTGCACTTCACTAAAAGTAAGGCGAATGAAGAAAGTCTTGTACGAATGTATACTTGCAAAACCAAAAACTTTCTCTGGTAGAGACTATGTAGTCGTTCGACGTGAACGTAATAATAATAACAATGGAGCTAGTAGTAAGCTTCTTCCTAAATATGATGGCCCGCCTGTGATCAAGCTGAACAATCATCGAATAGTGGACAAGGAAATCGAGGAGGACGAGGAGTTTAGGTAGATCTATCAGAAAAGCTGAAACCCTTCATCCCAGGTACTTCAACCACCGACGATGACGTCAGACGAAGAGTGAACCACCCTACGAGTTTAATAATAATCGTTTGCCCTGTATGAGTTATAAAGTTAAGATTAAATTATTTGAAAGCTCTAGTAGGTACCAACTATTATACGAGTATATATTTTGTTTTATTTTTTTTTGGGGGGGGGGGTATTAATGTGCAATATATGGAATCTTGATTCCACTAAAACCGCAGGGTATACAATGGAAGAGATTTATCTATTATATGTCAAAAAAATCCCATAAACGTACGTCTGAAAATGTTTTCTTTTTCAGTCAGCGTTTCTAAAAATAAAATATGTTTTTCATTTTATTGGAAAAACGCAATTTTTCAATTACTAATTTTTTTAGAATAAGCCTAAACTTACTTGAATATATCAGGAGCAACTCCGATACGAAAGAAAATGACAGGAATTTCTTATTTCAAATTAATATTAAATAAAGCCTGTATTTAAGAATTAATAATAGCAGAATACTCTGCTTTTATGGTTTAACTTTTTACAACTACGATATTAAAAATATGTAAATATGCAACATTTTCAGGCCATGCTATTCACAAAACTTTATATAAATATAACAATTAACAAAGTTTCGGAATAAAACTTAGAGAGCACCGTTTTACTTCACATTCCTTGAGATCACGGATCACTCAGGAAGACTGAACTCAAAGTTACTTTCCTTGATTTATAGTTTTTTCCTATTTTTGTTGCTTTACGAAGCCATTATGTCAGGCAGGAGTGGAACTTGAAAGAAAAACAAAACCCTCAATGGCTTCAAAAGAAAAAAGGGGAATGTATAGTCTAAAGAGAAATAAAAAATTACTAAGTGTCTCCTTGACTAAATTGACCGTAGAGGAAGTGCAAAATGAAACAAAAATGCTTGTTATTATATTTATTTTATATTAGAATATAGCAAAATTATATATTTTAATTTTTTATTGTAATAATAAACACTAGTTAGGTACATCATTGGTTATTTTGATGTCACACTAGTAAAATTATCTTATATAAGGAGAGTTATAAGTTGATATTTGTATATTTGCAACATCTAAAATATGATTTTACAAAGCGAAACTACATACGATTTTTAAGAAGAAAGAATAATTGTGTATTATTACATTGAAACATTTCTACAAATACATTTTTTTTGAATTTATATTTTTCAAAGGTGTCACAGTACGATGTCCCTAGATGAAGGGAAAGTAACATCAAACTAATTTCAAAATATTTATTAATACCTTAAATGATACAAATTTTATAAAGTAAAATATGAATTTTTGAATTATATATGAAGATAGTTATACAGGGTATAGCAAAAGTACCGGGACGGCAGAATAACTCGACGGGAGAGCATTTTAGAGAAAAATGTTAAATGATCTGACATTGAAGATAATTTTAAGGTCAAATGTGATTTTTCAAATGGGACCCTACTTTTGACCCCAGAAATGAAAAGAGCGGAAAATTTTACATTCAGATATGACATGGAGTGACCCCTCCCTTTTGACCTTGGGGCCCCCACAAGGTCAAACTAACAATAGTATAGGAACGGCAGAATAACTCGGCGGGAGAGCATTTTAGAGAAAAATGTTAAATATAAAAGTTTCAGGATTTCTCCCTGTCTATCCGTGGTTTTCTCTAAAATGCTCTCCCGCCGAGTTATTGTGCCATTCCTGTGCTTTTGTTGGTATGACCTTGTGGGGACCCCAAGGTCAAAAGGAAGAGGTCATTCAAGGTCCTATCTGAACATAAAATTTTCCGCTCTTTTTATTTCTGGGGGCTTGATTTTGAAATGATCTTCAAGGTCAACGTCAATGTGAAAATCACCATCCGATAGCCAGGGAGAAATCCTGAAACTATTGTACCTATTTAACATTTTTCTCTAAAATGCTCTCTCGCCGATTTATTCTACCGTTCCGGTACATTTGCTATACCCTGTATATGAAGATAAATAATGAATAATACACATATTTTTCTTTATCAAATTATTTAGAAAAAAACAGTTTTGACCCATATTTGGACCAGTTTTCTGCGAAATATAGAGGTCATGTGTAAATTTTACTAATGACATCGTGTTCAGCGCCTCAAAATACTACGAAAATGATATATTTGGACACAATTTATGAACATAGTATATTGTTATATCGTTCGGTTGGAGAAAAAAATAGTACAATTTTTTACAAAATTCTAATTTACCACCAGTTGGCAAGGGCGTACCCAGGATTTCAGCTAGGGGGGCAGCTCATACCTGTTTCGAGAAGATGGTCGGTCGGGTATATTGAAACAAAAAATCATGAAAATTGACTTTTATTAATTAGTTTGATTATGACACAAAACAAAATATTATATATATAATAATCATAATATATATATATATATATATATCAATTTAACAGTAATCTTCTTGGATTTGCCGAAAATTTGTCTATGACAGTCTTTTCAATAAACTCACTGTTTTCTTTTAAATAATTGCGATGTACGCTCATCAGACATAAACCTGTAAGCCTTTCTTCACCCATGGTGCTTCTAAGCCACGTTTTAACTCTTCGCAGCGTACTGAAGGACCGTTCTACGGTCGCCGTGGTGCATGGGATAGTGCTTAAAATAATCAATGCCTTTCTGACAGCAGGGTAAAAAATGTTGGCTTCGTTGAACAGATCAACTACTTTTGTATGTCCCTTAATTGATCATCTGATAAAGCCTTCTTCACCCATAAATTATGCCAAAGGTCCAGTTCTCCGGTAATATCCAGGTTATAAAATTCTTGGAATGATTCTGCGTTCTTGTGTAAGTCTGTAATGCTGGTTTTGGTCATATACAAGGGATGTAGCTTACTTAAAGCAAACGCCGGAGTATTTTCTTGGGAGAATCGAATATTCAACGATGAAATGAGTGAATCAATGTATGGTATTATCAGGGAACGCCGCCAATATTCGTTATCATTGTCTGATGGCGGATTACTTCTATGTGTTTGCTTGTGAGCAAGACGTGGAACCGAAATTTCTATGTTCAAATCCATTGCAACAGCTCGCGCTTTTTGAAGCATTTCATTACTTATTCTATCAGGAAACTCGCGGTCATTTCTGAGAATGTCCTTGATATGTTTGATGTGTTCCCCCACCGAGATCATGTCGACCGATTTAGCTTGCAGTGCGTTAACTACTGGTTCTAAAACTGCTGAATATTTGGCTATTGTTTGTAGAGCAACAATAAACACTGGTTTTGTAACGGCTGAATGCAACTGATATGCAGATTTTCTGGTGGCATAATTTCCCTCTACGGATAACGTTTCTAGAGATTTCACAAGCTCTGGGAAATGTTGAGAAAACTTTCTGATTGATTTATATTTTTCGGACCATCTCGTCTCACACAATCGTGGTAGGTTTGGAGCGTAGTTTCGACGTGTAGTCGATTCTCTGAAAAACGTTATAACATCCTTTAAAGTGGCGACAGTATTTCTAATTTCTGGCACTGCGTTCGCATCATTCACAACAAGGTTGACTTTGTGACTTGAGCAATGAAAATATAAAGCACGAGGATATTTTTTTCTCAAAATGGCTTGTACGCCACCCTCTTTCCCTGCCATTGTAGAACAGCCATCGAATCCAAACCCTACGCAATCTTCGGTTGGGAGGTTAGAACTAAACAAGAAATTGTCAATTGCTTCGGCAATTGCTGAAGCATTTTGTGCTTTTAGTTCAACGAACCCTACAAATTCTTCTCTGATTTTCCTTTTGCTTTCGTCGTAGAACCGCACGCCTATTGACAGCTGTTCTTTCCCAGCTACGTCTGCTTTTTCATCAGCTAAGACTGCATAAGCCATGGTCTTCTGAACCTCACTTATTATATTCTCCTTAATAACTTCGCCACATACATTTATCAATTCGTTTTGTATTTTTGGCGATGTGTAAACTGCATTGCGACTGCACTTTTCCAGGTGACTCTTTAATTTGTTGTCCCCTGAATTGATTCTCAATTTCAATAAATCTAATAAAACACCCTCATCTGCTTGTTTTCCCCTAAGAGGCATATCATGTGTACCGCAAAATACTATACATGAAATAATTGACGACAATATTTGTCTGTTTTCATCGATTGCTTTTTGGTGTCCACTTTGCAGTTGGATGTCTACAGGAACATTTTCAAGAAAATTTATTGCAGCATTTGTCGCTGTTAGGTGAAGGTTAGTCGTTGCATGCTTTCGGCAGTTTTCATGCATATTTTTGAACTTTATATATGGCCTGACCATAAATGATCCCAAAATTCCTCTCACAGTGCTAATGGGCGGAGGGAACAAAACACAATGCTTACAAAGAGCGCCTATTAGTCGTTTGGAATATACTAGCCATGGTGCATATTGATCCAACCAAGCATGATTAAATTTTCTTTTCAATGCATCACTTACAAAATCGTAATTTCTGGGCGGGATCCACGGATTTTGTAACAACTCCCTCTTCTTTTCCGTCGATAGCTGGGTAGCCAACGCAACATAACGACCCAGATCATTTTCATGATAGCCATCGTCCACTATAATTTCAGGATCGACGTTGACATCATAAGTTTGTTGGGATGTCGATGGAGAAGAATAGTCGGCAACAGATATATTTACAGGTTCTGCTGGAGAATATGACACTTGTCCAATGTTAGCATGCAATGATCTTGGCATTACATGAGTAGTTTTATCATGGTCGTCATTTTCATCGCTTCCACTGCTACTTTCCCGACCTTTTTTTCTTTTTTCGCGTGTTGTCCCTAAAAATTGGATACACAAAATTACTCTTACGGTGTTTAGGCATAGGACGAAAATAAAGATCAAGATAATACCTATAAAAACATCACATTCAAATATCATTTACTTCCTATAAGAGAGCCCCCCTTAAACAAATTAAATAATCATATTAGGTACATGTGTTTTGTTTTGACTCACCTCTTTCAAAGAATTTCCTGATATCCATTTGACGGAGTAATATTTCCAGTTGTTGCGCAGTAAACGTAAATCTGGTGTCGCTGCAACTAAACTATAAGACACTATGGCGCATGAAATATTCGCTCGTATTAAACTCCGAACTGAATTGAATTGTATTCGAACTGAATTGCCTTGCTCTGCCTCACGATCCCGCTTATATATTCAAATATTAGAAGAGCTCCCGAAATACGTAGAAAATACTCGACTCTATTTCCATCCTTGTCTCATACTTGCTATCACTGCACTGTCTTTCCTTTCCAGAATAGTCCATGCTAGAACGTTCTTCGTGGTATTGCTATTAAATACAAGATGTCGCTATTGACCGTATAAATTGATGCTATTTCTCTTTACTGGAAAAAGTACTGTCGTCCGTAACTAGATAGCGCTAGATGTTGTTTTCTCCAAATTATATTCGGCTTTAATCCTAGATGGCTCTGATTGTCTCGTCGGGAACGGAAACTACGAGATGCGACGGTTTCGCGGGAGATTTAAATTATATTGCGTCGCTAACAGTATACTATATCGAATGTTGTAGAATATTTAATTATAGATAAAAAAAATATTAAATCAAAATATCTGACTGAAAAGATATTTTGTTTCCAACACTTCATTTTGCGCAAAGTAGGTAACACGTTTTTAATTCCCACTTGCCAGGAAAATTGACGTTTATTTTATCTTCTAGGGGGGGGCAGCTGCCCCCCCTTCCCCTACCTGGGTACGCCCTTGCCACTTGGTAATATAGTTGGCGCCACTGAATTATCTCCATATGTTTTCTTTTCGGAATCTTTGGTTAATCGTCAGAAACGACTGAAATTGTTTTATGTCTGTCCACACGCATTTTGATTTTATATTTGCTGATGTTTTTAAATGTTTTTAATAATCATCGATGTTTTTTGTAATTGTACCGTCTCAACTGGGGGGGTCGTCGGCTAAAATTTGCCCCAATTCTTTTGCTTGTCGAAATTTTCCAATATAGATGCCAGCATATGATAGATCCTCATTTCGTCTACAAAAAAGATACTCTTTATTTCTTTCCATAATATACTCCATTTCCGGGAAAACAGATCTAAGCATTGCATTACATACATTAATAAAATTTAAAAAAAATTCTTTCTTGAGTGGGTACTATTATGAATTTTGATTGGTCATGATATAATTATACATTGTAATAAACAATGTGAAAAGTTCTTAGAAAAGTTTGTTATGGGCGTCCCAAGCAGGGGAGGGGGGACTCGGGTAAAATTTCCCCTAATTTTATATAAAATAAAAAAAAATTATATAAAATTTGATAGATCTGAGTTTTCTATTAAAATTGGTAATGTTGTTTTATATCGAAAAAGTATTCCGTTTTCGAGAAAAATCGGTTTAAATGTTATAACACTTCACAAACTGTGCTTAATTCAGTTTTTCTTGGAAATGGAGCATTTTATCGAAAGAAATAAAACGTACCTTTTTTGTAGAGGAAATGAAGGTCTGTCATATGTTGGCCTCTGAATTTGAAAATTTTGGCAAGCAAAAAAAATTGGGACAAATTTTAGCCAATCCCCCCCCATTGAGACGCCCCTCATCAAAATTTTTGAAACATGTTATGATGATCTATTTCGACTTTTAATGAGCGTTTATGGTGTCAAAATTGATAATTTTCTTTCAATCCATTTCGGAAATATTTTTAAGAAATGAATTTTTTGAGGCTCCATTTAAGGGGGCGGGCGTAGTTCCGTTAGGAGAAGCATTTCTCGACCCATGTTTATATGATAAAATATTCTTATTTTTGGCAATAAAATCAAGAACAAGCTGTACGCATGTGTTATGGATCATCGAATTTGCATCATACTGAAGTTAATAGTTTAGAGACTGTAAATAAAAATAAGATTTTAATTTTCAACTTTGAGGGCCCGTACCTAACTTGTTAACGAAGGCCCGTATGGAAAAAATTTATATGAAGAATTGATATTATTTTGACTTAATCTATCTGTACTCGAATTTTTTGTATCAAGTACATGAACATTTTGTATACAGTGCTATTTTTTTAAAACCTGACATAGGTCTACTTTTTTATTTGAAGTGATAGACTAGTACTTCCAAATTATTTCCGGTATTGCCAGATTTCTGCAATAGCTACTAAAACGATATTTTTTTTAATGACAACACCATTTTTTTAACATAATTTGACAAACCTTCAAATTCTAAATAGAAAATGTTATGTTACATTTCTTTATTAGAGTAGCTGTTTTAGAACAATCAACAAAAACAACCAAAATAATCTGTAGTCGGCAGGAACTAAAAGAAGCTAACATAGCAATAGTAGGTCATGGAAATTAAACAAAAATGGTGTGGTTTGCAAGGAACCATCATTATTGTGCCGCCATTGTGTTATTTGACAGGTGTTTATTTGAATGTGCATAAAAATAACGTTTGAATTCAGTTGCTAAAATGATTTTGAGCCTTTTGCGGATTCTTGGGCACAAACTACCAATTGTTTTTAGTTTTATTAAGTTATGTCTTAAAAACTCCGGATTTGGAAGAGGCTTATCGAGATATCTTGTGTGGAATTCGGCGCACGCATTACGTAAACTTTAAGCCACCAATATGAAGAAACATTAATTCAACTTTCTCTTGTGGATTAAATAACTGATCATCTTAGGAACTGAATTAAAACGTAATTTTTTATACACATTCAAATACAACAGCTGTCAAATAACTCAAAATAATGATGGCTACTTTAAAACAAAACAATTTTTGTTTAATTTCCAATACCTATTATTGCTATGTTAACCACTTTTAGTTCCTGGCGACTACAGATTATTTTGGTTGTTTTTGCTGATTGTTCTAAAACGGCTACTCCAATAAAGAAATGTAACTTAACATCGTCTATTTAGAATTTGAAAGTTTGTCAAATTATGTTAAAAAGGCAACACCGGAAATAATTATTTGTAAATTTTTCTTAATTAAGTTATTTCCCACTTGGAAGTAACTAGTCTATCATTTCAAATAAAAAAGTTGGCCTATTTCAGGTTTTAAAAAAATGGCATAAGAGGTGTGAAATTAATACTCACAAAATAATAACCTCCCCAAATATTAACTTTTCCAGTTGAAAATATGAAAAGGCAACTGTATAATATGTTAATATCCTCAGTGCAAATATGTTTATGTATATATGGGTAAACACGCCTTAATTTCTATGGTTTACATTTACAGCTCGGGAACTGCGAAGAAGCGTGGGCCGTTAATATTACCGCGCACCTTATAAAATACAGTATGCAATTCTCAGTTTAGAGCATATAATTAAATTATTATTGTGCTATGAAGTTCGGCGTGAACGGTTAAGTTAGGTAATTTACTTGTTCCGTACCTCATTATGTGATATCTCTCTAGTTGTATGTCAATAATCTACACAAATCCTTATAAATTTTCCATTATATACGTTTCAGTAACTACATTAACGCCTTTATAGATCAGGCCGAGTATGTATCCCATTTTATCACAATAACAGCTATGTTATTTCAGGGTTAAACGTTAAGGTTAACATTAACTGTTAAGATATAACGTGCACGTTATTGAGGAATTGAGACCATTTTTAGCAAATACTCGTATTGCAATGTTGTTGTTTTTTGTATTATAATTATGCAAAATTATTATAAATAAGAGTCAGTATTAGACAAAAACACATATAACTGACAGATGTCTTTTAGGTTATGAAACATGAAACAAATGCAAACTCGTAAATAACGGATAAGTACAACATAAAATAGTTTGTAACACGTTATCTTAAATTATAACAGAGTTTCTTAAAGGCAAGGAATTTGGTGTTGCCATAGTTTAACGTAGGTGTTATTTGTCTAATGAAAATTAACGGCTTGTTAAATTTCCATTTACTTGCCGGTTTTATAAACGCACAAAGTTGTAAAATTTAAGTAACTTAGGGGTAGTATATACGTATACGTATATACTACCATATAGTATATACAGGGTGATTCACAACTTATCCAAAAAAATTTGGGAATAGATGCGGCATGAGGATTGGAGTCAATATTTTAAAAAAAAATTTTTGTAAAATCCTTATAGTTTCTGAGAAAAAAATTATTGAAGTTATAGCACATTAAACTACTACATAGCTGGACAACTGTAGTCTCTAGTGTCATTTGCAATACGTGTGGAGAGCCATGTGACTCCTAATACTGAAATCCGTCCTTGCGGTAGTTTTTACCTGTTATCTGTAATGTTTACAACAGTTTTTTAGTAGTTAGTGTCAAAAATGGTTTGCGTGTATAGCAACTCAGAGTTGATGGACATCGTTTTAATTTATGGTGAAGCAAGACAACATTTGTATTATGGTGAAGCATTTGTGTTATGGTGAAGCAAGACATCATTTGTGTTAGTTCGTAGAAAGTGAGTAAGACGGACCCAAATGTGTTTACACGTGAGTGGATAAAATTTTGAACAATTGCTGTTGCAGCATCGGGTATGTCAAATGATTTTATTATTTAAAAACACAAATTAATTTTATTAATAATTAATAAAGGCAAAAGCATTTGAATTTGCCGATATAAAATAGGTGCGATAAAATTCTATTTACATATTTCTTTCCTTGCGAAAGTTTTTGTCCGTTTTTATTACGCCGCGCGCCGCCATACTGGTCGCATTGTGCGAGGTCAGGTTTTACAGTGGACCAGTTTCCAGTGCCGTGCAGAAGTGTATTTTTATATCAATTTTGAACTGACCTTTTTGATTTTTTCTTTACAAAATTGTATTTGTAAGGGTCCCCTGTACATCCAGATTTTTTTTTTTTTGGATAAGTTCTGAGTCACCCTGTATACTATATGTATGTATACGTACGTATATATATATAAGTATTTACCCTAAAATTATTGTTAGGTTGTATCAAACGAAGAAGGATCTAACAAGGAAACTACCCCAACCAGAACTCTCCGATTTCCCATATTTTTATATATGTTGTAGATTCGGTTGTAGAACATAAAAATTAAATGA